TCATGGGGGATGCTCCGAATGGCAGTATGGTCAAAAGACCTGACGACTTCAATGTCAGCCTCCCAGAGTTTTAGTTCTACCTCTGCTGGAGTGGCCGTATTAGTACCTGGGAACAACTCAGGTTATGGCAGCACTTAGGGAAATAATTCTGCCACTGCAAGCCTGGTTGTCTGACTCCTGCTTCTGGGTCCAGGTTCAGGGTCCTGAAATTCATGGTGCCCCCTCCCCATGGCCAATTTATACAACTTGCCTGTGCCTTAACTGTTAACTTTGATCCATGTAGGGGTGTTCCAGTGGACGCCTAGCCACGGCCTGCCACACGTGGGCCAATGGTAACTGACAAAGCAGAACACACAAACCTGAACTCAAAGTGCCCGAGAACAAGGGTAAGGAGGAGACGCTAATAAGAAGCAAGATGACACCAAAGAACTTCAGAAAGAGGACCAGAGGCACCAGCAGAGCAGGTCAGGGCTGAAAATACAAATATTGGTGGAAACTATGCACAAGGAGCAGTCGTACACCCAGATCCCCTCCCCAAGTGCTCAAAACTGGGTGACAACTCCTTTTCCTGTATGACTGTAGATGGGAAGTTAACTAGGGGAGTTGAGCCAGAGATTCTGGACTCGCTGAGGCGAAGAAAAATCGGCAAGCAAAGTGCATCTAAAAAAAGAGATGAAGAGCAAGTCAACACATCAAACAGACCATTGGCTCTTTTTTCTCTCTTGACTCTCAGAATGCAGGCGGCCAGGCTTAAACTCCTAGAAGATTCTTCAGGCAGGAGAAACTGACCTGCCCAAGAGGAAACAGCAACAAACCTAGGGATATTATCATTTGGGGGACATGCAATGAAAAAATCTGGGTTTCCACTCAATTACCCTACAGTGAACTCACCAGTCAAGAAGCCCCACACATGCACACAGAGCTTGCAGTCAGTTGTTTAAAACTAAGTGGTATTCATCCTTCCTTAGTTTGCCTGATGTTAATAGTAAACGTATTTGTTTTTTAAAATGCATAGAATTTAGAAAGTTGTAAAGAAGAACATAAAACTTTTCCAGTAGCCTCTACATCCCTAAAGGCGATTATTGTTAACCATATCTTGATATGTTTACAAAAGTTTTTCTACTTAAGTATAATAGGTCCTGGTTCAGTTCCTATAACAAAGGCCAAAATAACAGGACTTGAAAGAAATCGATGCTTATCTCTCAGTCATGTAATAGCCCAGAAGCCGCCCAGAGCTAACACTGTGGTTCCACAGTACTGGCGACACAAGTCCCTTTGCTACTGTTATTCTGTCATTCTCAATACATAGTTTTTATTTAACAGTTTAAGATAGCTGCTCCTAATCTAGATATCACATCCGTACACCAGCTAGTGAAAAGGAGAGAAGAGGAAAAGGCCATTCTCCTTTTCATTTAAGGGCATGATCCCGAAGTTGCTTATATTACTTCTGCTCACCTCCTGTTGGGTGGAACATAGTCACATGACCATGTGTATTTTCAAAGGAGAATGGGAAACGTAGTCTTTTTGGTTTTAGCTGGGAAATGATGTGCCCAGCTAAAGCTCAGGGTTTCTTTTAATGACAGAAGGATGGGAGAATGAATACTGGGAGACAACTTGAAATCTCTGCTACAGAATATATTTTAAAATATTTTAAAACATTTTTATTTCCAGAAGCAGGGAATCTATTCATAGTTAGTGTCTCTGCGTTAATTAATTCTGGAGAGTGGAGGGTCACTGGAGGTTTGCGGAAAGCCTCTCGATGGAGACCAAAATGAGCAATCTAAAAAAATGAACTCAGACAAAACAGAGACAGACCATAATGTAGAAGAAAATGTAAAAACAGAAATAACCTGTAATTAACAGCACATCCATGTCCCAATATTTTATGATGATATGACTCGGTATGGAGCTTTTGTTGTTATTGTTCATTTTGCTGGGCAATAGGTGTGTGTATAGAAACTGTATGCTAATATTTTAGAAATTAAAAATATAGCAGAAACAAAAGTCCCATAGAAGGGTCAGAGGGTAAAGTTGAAAAATCTAACAAGAAATAGAATAACAGCAAAAGACAAACAAATGAAAAATAGGAGAGAAGAAAATTAGGAGAGCAATCTAGAAGACCCATTAACTAAGTTTTCCAGAAAGACAGAGCAAAGAAAATGAGAATGAAAATTACAAATAAAACAATTTCCCAGAGCTGAAGGATATGAGTGTCCAGTTTCTGTACACACACCCACTGCCCCACAAAATGAGCAAGAATAACAAAAGCCCTATACCAAGGCTTATCATCATTAAATATCGGGACATGCAGCCTTCAGAGAAATGGGGAGAAAAAGCAAAAATAAGTATCAACAGTCTTCAAAAAACCAGGTCACCTAGAAAGGAAAGGGAAACAATGTGAGTGGCCTTCCCTGTCACAGCACCGGAAGTGAGAAAACAGTGAAGCAATGTGTTCAAGATCTAAGTGAAAAGTATTTCTGATGGAGGAGACTATTCTTAGCCAACTATTAATCAGGTATGAGGGTAAAATAAAAAACATCTGCACACAAAGTCTCAAGGATTTTATCTTTTTTTTTTTTTTATCCTCAGGAAACTACTGGAGAATGTTTTCCAATATAATGAAGGAGTACATGAAGCCAGAGGACAACCTGGGGTGCAGGAGGAGAGGAAGGACCCCTAGGGACCGTAGTGAGGCGGGGGGTGGGCAGGCACCCCCGCAGAGCAGGTGGCCTGCAGAGCGACCCCCAGGGCAGGGTAAGAAGGCAGCGTCAAGGCTCCAGGGGAGAAGTTTCCCTCTGGAATGAGCATGCACAGGTCCAGGAATGCACTTCCCAGTTCTCTCAGAGAGTTTGGGAAAGGGCTTAAAATGGGTCGAGAGAAATGTAGGAAATAAAAAATGGGAACATTTTTAACTCCAAAAAAAAAAACCATGCAAAAATGAAACTACATAGTACATTATGTAAATACTTGATACAGACTTACCAAAATTTATCACATAACTACACTGAAAGAGCAGGGAAAATCATGTTTTTGTTGGGGGCACACAATATTACCTATTTCCATAGTGGAAAATTAATACTTAATACCAAAAATTGAAAAAAGAATCACAAGACAGCAGGATAGACATATTTACAGAGGGAATTGGGAATTTTTTAAAAAGTATAGGCCTTGTGAAACTATTATTAATTCACATGTATTGATTTGATTAAAAATTAAAATGATTAGGCTAACCACAATAAGAACAGAAACAGAATGCATATCTTCCAAGTCAGATGAGGGGAATATGGAAATAAAAGCCCATCATTCAATGCGATAGAATGCAGATATGATAGATACCTGCACTGCTGAATTGGTGCACGAATATGGAGAGTTCAGCTCAATACCCAGCCCAGTGTCTACTGTGCCTTCCTGTATTTCAGAAGCTGAAAGGCTACAACTGCATTTCCTAGATGTTATTATAGCTAGGATCCTGGATGCAGTTTTGGCTCTTAAAATCAAATTTTCTCTCTGGTTTGGTAAGGTGGAAGTGAAGCAGGGCCTGTGTGTGTGCTGTGTCTGTTGGTGAGGGGGTTGTGCGGGGGTCTGATTTTTCTGCAGTGGCTTCTTACCACGACAGTAGCTACGTGGTTCAGGAGTGGCAGCTTTCCAACTCAGTCGGTGGCTTCCAGGTTGTCAGGAGAGGCAGTGGCTCCTTTGGTGGCCTGGCTCTGCACCACAGCTCTCAGTCATTCCTGAACATTCAACCTGGAGAGCTGCGTCAGACCGCCAAATAAGTCCTTAAATTATTTTATACCCTATAATAAATCCTTTTGTACTTAAACTCTGGAATGATTTCTGTTCTCTGAAACTGAACCCAGACTACAGAACAGGAAAGCGGAAGGTAAAATATAAAGAAAAGGCATGGTAAATAGCACAAAATAAAACGGAAGAAAGAAATCTAATTATAACTAATAAAATAAGCTCAGCTCTAGCTAACAGAGTCTCATACTAAATTTTCTAAAAACTCCAGCTGTACACTATACAGGAGACAAGTGAAAAACAATGTAATACCACACAGGAGTTAAATGAATCAACACAAACGAATCTCCGAGAACATAATGGGGAATGAAAAAAGTTGCCAAAGATTACTCAGCATGACGTCATTTCTTTAAAGTTTAAAAACAAAATTTGGTATCCATATGCAGGTGGTGGGTCCATGCTTATGTAATAGAAGCATACAAACAGGAACGGGAATGATGGGCATCAACGTGAGCCCAGAGACTATCTGGAGGAGACAGAATAAGGGTGGGGCTTTAGTTACGTCTAATTTTATATTTCTTTAAAAAATACCAGGTAAATGAGGCCAAATGTTTTCATAGGTTTAATCTTGGGTGGAGCGCGTGGGTGCTGCTGATCTTACTTGGGGGCACGTCTCTGATAGTTCCTGATCTACCAAGCGCGACACCCTCTCAAGCTGCCCGGGGACATCTTCATGCACATCGACGGTGATGCCGAGAGGGGCGGCCTATAAAGTGGAGGCTCCTGGGGTTTGCAGACGCCACGGGGAGGCTTGGAAAGAACCTGGAAAAGGGGCCGGGGCCGAGGAGCGAAGAGGCTGCCCCCGGCGGGGACGGCGTCCCAAGTCCGGGCAAACCGGGAGACCGTTTTCCAAACAGATGCAGATTTGGTCCCTGCGCCCTGGGGGACCCGGGCGGCCCGGCGGCGCGCTGGGTGGAGGGGAAGCGGGGCTCACGCGTGGGGCGCCCAGCGTCGCCTCCCGAAGGAAACCCCGGAACCGGGAAGGCGCGGGAGGTATTCCACCCCGTCCTCAAGTTGTGACGGCGACCCAGGGCCCGGGGATGCCCGCGCTCGGCGGCCGGAGGGCTGCAGGCCGGGGCCGGGGCCGGGGCCGGGCGGCGGGCGGGCCGCGCCGAGGGCGGGGCCGGCGCGGGGGCGGACCCGGGCGCGCTCCCGGCCGCTGGCGGGCGGCGGGGCCGCGGCGGCTGCTGTGCCGGGTCGCCGGACGACGGGCCTCGGGCGGCGGCCTGCGGACGGGCGGACGGGCCGGGACGCAGGCCCCGCGCCCGCCGCCTCCCCTCCGCCGGCGCCGGGCCGCGCCATGGCCGCCTCGCCGGGCTCGGGCGGCGCCAACCCGCGGAAGTTCAGCGAGAAGATCGCGCTGCACACGCAGCGGCAGGCCGAGGAGACGCGGGCCTTCGAGCAGCTCATGACCGACCTCACCCTGTCGCGGGTGAGCGCCGGGCGCGCGGGTGGGCGGGCGCGGGCCGAGGCGCTGGCGGGGCCGGACGGGGGCGCCTGCGGGCCGGGGGCGCGAGGGGCGCGGGCGCGGCGCGGGGCGCGGGGCGGGGCGCGGGCGGCCCGGGGCAGACCCTCCGGGAGAGCCCGGCGCCGGCGGGCTCGGGGTCGCGGCCCCGCCGGTGGCCCCGCGTCGGGCGCCAGGCTGCGGTCCCTCCGCCGAGGCGCGTCCTCGCGGCCCCGGATGTGCGGTGGGACCGGCAAGTGCACAGCGCCACCGGCGACCGAGGGGGGCGCGAGCCGGGCCAAGCCGCCGGCGACCGAGGCAGCGGCCGAGCGAGGCCGTGGCGGCTCCGCGCAGCCCGGGGCCAGCGGGACCCCGGCGCCGACCTGGGGCCGCCGGGCGCGTGGGGGCCGCGGGAGCGCCGAGGGCCCGGCGCTGGGGGTCCCCGGCCCGCCGAGCCGCAGGCGCGCTTTACTCATTAGACCAGCACAGTGTTTGGGAAAACTTAACCCTGTTGCCAGAATTTTCTAATTGGGAGATTTTCATAGGAAATCAAAAGTTCGTTCTTTCTTTCCATATATATATGTACATATATTTACGCAAAATTGTTACTTATTTAAAGTTGGGAGACTGGTGATGCATCCTGAGTCCCACCCGGCAGCCGGCAGCTGGAGCCGGTGCAGGTCGCCCCTCTGATGGGCTCTCTAGGGCCCCCGTGCCCGCCACACCCCGTCCTGATTCCCCGCACCGAAACTAGCTGGCACTTGCTGTTTATCATACTTTGCGTGGTGTTTTTCTTATAGTGAAGTAAAGGCGAAAGGGAAATTGTTCTTTCATTTGCATTTCTATCACACTGAGGACAAAAAAAATACAGATAAAGAAGGCTGAGATTTCAAGAAAAAGTTTTCTCATGCCCCGACTAGCTTCGCTCCTTTATTACCTGCCTGGTGTCCACCGGCATTTGCATCTGTGACCTTGGTGAGATTCAGGAATGAGCATGGCAAGCTCAGCAGTGAGGAGAATGGGTGGAAGCTGGCGCATGATGGGCGCTGTAGCCTGTTACTTGTTCGGGCGCTTAAGTCACATGTGTACAAATCCATGTGCTCTGTGTGTCTGTACCCCTAGAGTTGATCCAATCTCTCCCCCAGTCAATGTTCCCCTTTAAGACCTCCTTGAAAGATGAAGCCATGAGTTATGTACAGACTCTTTATAAAGGTAAACATTTTTTTCGCACAGATCCTTAGTGTTCACTTAAATGCGTTTATGTTCCTCAAATATGTTCAAACATAAACTTGTATAAAAGTTTATGCTTATGGCTGTGATGGACCATAAATTAAAACATATGTACAAAATCAGTTAAAAACGCAATCAATTCAAATTAACAACGTTAATGTGATAGATGCTATTTTCCTCAACTGAATTGAAGTTGTCAGTGTGCATATGGTGCTAACGCCTTAGGTCAGATGCCCTGGAGTTCAGCCGGGTGATCAGCTGTGTCCCATGTGGTGACTCAGTGTGGCCACCATTGTTTTCTAGTCTAAATGTTACAACCTTGTGATGTCACTTTGCCCCTCACCTGCTGCATCTTTTTCACGTTAATTCTGCCTGTGTTCTTTTCTCCTCTGCCAATTGCAAGTGATTCTTCATGGCTCCACTGTGTTCATAAATACACAAGCAAAGTATAACACTGAATTTGCTAGTAATATTTGCTTATTTAAACATTTTCAGGGTTATTGTCATCATGAAATCACAAAACTGAGCACTTCTCATGGAGAACTCTTAAATCCTCAGGCAAATGTCTGTAAACCCCTAAGGCCCCAGCAATCCCAGGTGGAGAAGATCCATCCAGTTCATCACTGGTGACTGGGTGGCAGATACACTGCCTTTCCGTGACCGGCCCGGGGCAGACGGCCACAGCCCGTCTAGGCACTCCCCCCTCTGTGCCACCTCTACATCGTCACAGCCAGTCCTTCAGAGCTGGACTTACATCCTATTTGCCTAGCAGGTGGGGTGGGTTGGATTATGGAGAATTTTTCTCTCTCACGTTAGGGGTTCAGCTTTCCAGTAAGGAGTAGAAAAAGTTTGATAAGAGAATTCTAGCGAGATTGGTTTAGTAGTGGTACCTGGGATGAGAAAAGTGAGGAAGTGGAGGCAGGTGGTGCCTGGAAGGCGGCTGTTTCTTGGGCCCTTCATCGGTGTGTGGGCACCAGAGCGGCCCCTGTGGTCGGTAGGGTGGGTGTGGAGGACGTGAAGACATGGCGTCTCTTACTAGTTTGTTATTAATTTGTTCATCAAATACTTAACAAGTCCCCAGTGTGTAGGGTAGACACTGGGGATATAATAGTGAGCAAGTAAAACACCTCCTCACAGACTTGGGGTTTATTGTGGAAGGCATTCATTTGACAAGCAAGGGCACATTTTGATGAGTACAGAAGGGGGAGCGGATGGAGCTCTGGGAACATCCCTGAGTCCCAACTCGGTGGTGGCCCACGTGGGGAGGGTGTCTGAAGCCTATGCCTGTGTGTTGAGGGAAGGGGATGGTTCAGGCACAGGGAACAGAGGTTCATCGAGGAGACGAGGAGGGTGATTTGAGATGTAACATTCACAGGGGTCAGATTGTGGAGACAGGATTTGGGACTTGATCCTAAGGACAATGGAAATCATTGAAGGGGTTGAACCCGGGGAGATCTGCATTTTAAAAGGATCCCTCTAGTTCCAGAGTGGTGACTACAACTGAGGAGAAAGTGGCAGAGAAACCGTTTGGAGGTCTTAATACTAATCTAAGGCCTGTGGTGATGGCAGCAGTGGGCAGAGCAATGAATGATTGACACTTAGGAAGTGGCTAGGATCCGGCTTGGTGAAGGAATGATCCCCAGCTTTCAAACTTGAGCCATTTCAGGGTACCCTCCACGAGGAGAGGGGTCACTGCAGAGGGTCAGACCCCTCAGTGTCGCGCAGTGCTGGGTTTGAGCCGCCTGTGAGGTATTTAAGTAGAGGTGGTCTAGCAGGTGGTCTAGCAGGTCCTGGAACTCGGGAGGGAAATCTGGGCTGTTGATTTAAATGTGGGATCTTTGGGGTGTACTTGTGAGAGTAGAATCAGTGGCCTAGGAGAAATTTTGAGAACACATTTTGCAAATTGGTGACCTAAATTCTTTGGGTGGGGGTGTGTGTGCCCCATTTTTTACAAAAATTAGAGCCAGCAATGAACTTTGAGATTTTATATTAAAATCTGGATTCTGACTTCTTTTGAAAACATGGGATCATCTAACAATACTCACCCTACATTTCTACATGGTAGCAGTTGCCTGGTGCTGAATAGTGGCTGCCCCCATTTGTGCGTGTATGTGGTCTTCAGATTGCCACAGTCCCCACCACTCCCTATGGTGCTGCTCACAGTTATTCCAGCCTGCTTCACTGCCTTATATTCCATACTCAGCGCCTGTGGGCATTTGAGTTTCTGACCCAGTTACAGAGTGGAAGGTCCTAGGAGCCCCAAGGAGCCCCAGCGTTTAGAGGTGAGGTAGAGGGGCAGCAAGCAGAGAAGACAAGAGCAACCAGGGGCGTAGGAGGAAAGCCAGGAAGGTTATTGTTAAAAGGAGAGAATGCCAGCTGCTGAGCCCAGTGCTGCTGACTTGGTGTGTGACCTGATGAGGATGTGCCCTTCGGTCTGGTCATGTAGCGGTGGGGGGTGACCGTGGTGAGGGCCACCTGCACAGGGCACCGGGTGAGGCACGGGGGGTCAGATGGGAGGAAACAGAGACAGGGCTGCAAACTTGTTCAAGAAGTTCGACTTTGAAGCACAACTTGTAGTTTTGAAAAACCACCGGATAAACACAGCACAGCAGCCTGGAGCGTTAATTTGGCCGGAAGACTTGGGAAAAACCATTGCTTTTCTATTCAAACAAACATTGGATGTGTTACGGAGCAGAGAGGACTGTAGAGGAGAGACTAGAAAGACAGGATTCAGGCTGAGTATCGCGTGCTGTTTCTTTGCCGGGAGCTGTGCCGACCCCTTTGTGTTCGTTGGTCCGTGGTTCTCACAGGGACTCTGTGGAATGTGTGTGTGGAGTGTTCTTCATTTTGTGGGTGAGTGAACGAAGCCCGAGAGGTAAGGTCTCGTGGCTGGTTAGTGGCAGAGCCAGGGGTTTGAGCTTGGCTGTCACCCTGAATGTCTATATACTCAATTGCATTTTTCTAAGGATGTCTGTGTACCGGCAGCGTTTGCTGACACACTTTTCCTCGCCCCACTGAATTGCTATGACACTTTCATCAGACAGCAATTGGCCACGTACACGTGGGTCTGTTTGTGGACCCTCTCTTCTTATCTAGTGATCTGTAACATCTCTCCCTCTGACAATAGCATACTACTGCGGTTACTATAGCTTTATAGTAACTCCTGAAACAAGGGAATTTTTGTGTTCCACCTTTGCTCTTTTTAAAAATTGCTTTGGCTATTGTAGGTCCTTGGCACATCCTTGCATTTTAGAATTTATGTTGTCAATTTCTGTAAAAAGGCCTGTTAGGATTTTGTTTAGGATTATACTATTATGAGACTTTTCAAAAAAGGAATATTTGGGGCATGGGCCTCATTTCATATAGACATTGAAGGAAGTTCTACTACAGTATGTGGCTATAGGCTAAAGGTTGCTAATGCAAGTTACAGGGTGAGGGTCGTACGGAAAATGAGTAGAGGGGCCAGGGATGAGATGGTGGTAAGTGGTAGCTGATCTCGGTCCCCCGTGGAAGAATAATAGGACGCTGGGAGGTGTTGGGCAAACAGAATAACCCCAGCCCTGTCTAATGGGCGGCCACTTGTCGGCTCCAAGCGTTGTTGGCCGTGCAAGAATATGGGTTCAGTGTTGTCTCATCTTTCAATCAGAAGAAGTTGGAAATCCAGACTTTTATGCAGTCTTACAATTTTAAAATTAAAATGTAAAGCCTTGGGTGGGTCCTTCTCATGTGGGCCAACCAGAACTCTCCAGGCTGAATGTGACGCTTGGCCCGCCAGGCTGAGGCCTCTTGCCTTCCGCTGATCATTCTTCTTTCTTTGGTCCTTGTGTCACCATCAGTAAGCGTGACGGGGTTGAAGACGGTCTCTAAGGTTCTTTCTCGCTCAGTGATTCTAAATTTCAAAAAAGGAAAATATCAGGATTTTTAGGGGTTAAGAGGTAGCTGATAGTATCAACAATAACGGTTACATTTTGAGTTGTCCAGAGCCTTCCATCTTACCTACCGCCTCACATCTGTTTTCTCTTTCGATCCTACATCATCTGTGTGGACTCGAGAGCAGAAAGATTTCCCCAGCCCCACGGAGCTCCAGGTTTCAGAAGCAGGGCTTCCAGCTCCAAGCCCTGTGCTCGTGGTGCTGCAGCGCAGCGGCCTCCGAACGCTCTAGGAACAGGCACTCAGGGAGGGAGGGCAGAGTGGGGGTCCGTGCGGGGGACACAGGCTCAGCTGAAGGCAGGTCTCGAGCTAGAGTAAAACTCAGCTTTTGGGTAGGAGTCGAGGCGCCAGTGGGAGCTCTCTGAAGGCGGGAGCTTCGGCACGTAGTCATCTTAGTGGGCCAGTGCCTGGCACAGTACCTAATAGAGTTAAGAGTTTTTATATGAGTGAATAAATGGGTGGATTGATTTAAGAAGAGATCAAGAGGGCCAAGAATTTTGTCCAGAGGGTTTCAAGGACAGCGAGTCAAATGCCTCTGGTAAGTGCTTTGAGGATGTTAAGATCAAAAGCTGAGACTTTGTTCTTGTAGCTCAGCTGATAGATAGAAAAAGCCCACCGTGTCCTTCTTGTATTTGACTCTCAGATCTGGGTTTCGATTGATAGATTATAATCATCTCCCAGTTGAGAAATCAAATACTCTGGGTATAAGGAAATTAAAACTGCCTCAGGGTTTCATATGCCTTTAAAACTTGCAAGATACAAGTTCTTATCTTTTGGAGATGCACGTTGACCCATGGACGGTGTGATGTTTCTTCTGTGGGTACCGTGGGTAGAGGCAGGGGGGACAATGAATCAGAATTGGACATAAGCTGATAATTGTTGAATTGGAAGATGGATACATGGGGTTTCATCCTTCTGTTTTGTATGTATTTGAAGTTTTTTCACGGTAAATGTAAACACAAAAGAAAACCAGAGAGCTTCATAGGCTCGGGGTGCTTCTGGCCTCCCACACTCCCTTTTTCTCTGAGCTTGTCACCAGTACGGTCATGAAGGAGAAATGGAGCAAAGGAAGGGACCGAGGCAGAAATAGGAAAGTGGGCCTTGGCTCAGCCACAGGTCGGCCTCCTCTAGCCGTGCGGCCTTGGGCAAGTCTTGGACGCCCCATGTCGTCGGGGTCCCCAGGCCTGTGGAGGCAGGGGATGCAGTCTGCACTGCTGGGTGTGGGGAGGATTAGGGATGAAGTGGGGCAGCATCTGGCTCACCTCAGGGGCTCGTATGTCATAGTTTTTAATCATTGTCAGACAAAGAGAGAAATGAAAGGGTAAAATTCTGCCTCGGGCTTCCCACCTACCCTTTTCCCTACATGAATTACAAGTGCCAAGGTTACATAACCACAGAAGTAATTTTTTACTTTAGAAACAGAACTCTTTAGAGACCAAATTGGACCACTTTGGGGTTTACAAGAACTGTAACCAGTTTACTGCCTTTTGAAAAATGAAGCAAGAAAGAACTTAACAGAAGAAAGGCATATTAAAACAGTGGGATACCGTTTGATACCCGTTGAATTGGCCTCCCCCTTTACCCCAATTAATGGTCAAATCCACTGTTGGTGAGTTTTTTGGTGAAACGGTTTTCTCATATATACGTTGGTATACCCTTTGGGAAAGCGTTCTGGCAGTGTGCGTTGGGAGCCATCAGGAGGCCCGTACCCAGAGGCTTAGTGATCACTCTTTGCAGTGTGTTCTAAAGAAATAATTTAGACAAAGAATGTTATGTAGCCATTAAAAGGAATTGCCTAATATCATAGAACAGAGTTAAGATGTAAGCATGCAAGATTGTGCCTAGGCGATCAGCTGTCTGCAGTTTGTGCTTACGCATGTAGATGGAGACCAGAAAAGTGTGGAGCAGGGAACACAGTTAATGTGTCAGAGTCACTAGAGAGTGGCTTAGTTTTTCTTTGAGGAATTCTTTTTTCGCTGCTAAAGGCTGTGCCTGCTCACCTACACATAAACACTCAAAGGCCTTGCAAAGGTTATCTTGCTAACATGGTGAATGGGATGTTTGGAACATGGGTAAACTCTTTCTAAAAACAGACTAATCAAAAAACCAGAAAGCTCTGGGAACCTGAAGGTTTTAAGTAGAAAAGAAAATTGAAACCAAGACTGTCACTCTTGCACATTTCACTACAAAACAGCATACTTTGATGCTTCTGTCAGATCTTTGCTGTCATCGCTCAGCAGTCTTGAAATCTCTTTGTTTCCAGGTTCAATTTCAGAAGCTTCAGCAACTGCGCCTTACCCAGTACCACGGAGGATCCTTACCAAACGTGAGCCAGCTACGCAGCAGTGCATCCGAGTTCCAGGTACCTCCGCTCACTTTTTCAAGCCGAGTAGAGTGTGAGAGGGCAGGCAGAGATGATCCCTGAAAAGATTAGCTCTCGAGGGGCGAACCGGGCCCAGACACAGTTCCGCCTTCTGGGAAGTCCACCTCACGCTCTGTCCTAGTCCCCACGGTGTAAGACAGTGTCATTTCACAAGTGGTCCAGAGCAGTGCCGTTCAGTAGGAATAAATCGTGAGCCACGGAGGTAACTGAAGCTTTTCTATTAGCCATGTTAAAGAAAAACGGGTATTATTAATTTTAACATTATTTAAATCATTACTTAACCCAACGTATCTAAAATATTACCGTTTCAACACAGAATCAATATAAAAAAACATTAATGAGACATTTCACATTCTTTTTTCTTTTTCCCCTCTGGGTACTAAGTCTTTGAAATCTGATACTTCACACTGGAAGCACCTCAGTTTGGACCAGCCGCATCTCGCTACCGTCAGGGGGCTGGTTTCTAGCACACTGGGCAGCACAGATCCATGGGCAGCGCAGCAGGGTTCTGCCTGGCCCTTAGGGCACACGCTGGCACTTTGACCATTCACGTCAGCCAAGGGCCTTGCTGGAAACAGCACAAAGTGGCGTTTCAGCCAGTGACATGTGATACTGTTGTCAAGGTCTGATGCGACTGACTTAGGATCCTGGTCTCTGAAAACCGAGGAGCTTTTCTGATTCCACAGTTTAAGGTGTGGTGTCGACACTGAGATGTAGACTTTCAGATGTGGCATGAACCGACCCGTCTGGCTGCCTCGGCACGCCTGAGGGGCTGTGTCTTTGCTGTGGAAGTGGACTCATCGGCTGATAGTGTCTCATAAAGCACAGGTGACAGTCAAGCTGGGGACTGCATGTGGGAGCGCTGACAGGAGCGCTTAAATATAATGGTGATGAGGACGAGTACAGGATGACGTATTTGCACCCTGTCATGCTGGAGTCCTTTCTTGAGTGTGATGACCTGGGAGTCTCACGGTGATAACCCCTGACGGAGGTCTTCCCCGTAGACCCAACTCATATGTTGGCCTTTTAGATCGTCCGTATCCAAAATAAGGCAGATTTTGCTTTCTGCTGAATTTCGTGCTTCCGGAGATGAACATTCCCAAGGTGTGCTGCGCTTCAGATCCCGATTTTGGGGTATGGTATTGCCAACTTCAGAGAAACACGGCATCTCCCCTACTGTCCCTCTCCTGTCCCGCTGAGGAATGGGCTGAAGTGACAGCCCTTGGCCTTCCCAGGATTCTTTCTTTGAGTACTTTTTAAACTTCGAACCAGTACAGACTTACAGAAAAGTTAGTAGAGTACAAGTAGCTTTCCTTTCCCCCTGAGAACACATTGCCGACCCGATGTCCTGCCAACCCACAGCACCTCGCTGTGTTTCCTACAAGCGAGGACGTTGTCCTGCACGACCTCATAGAGTCGCCCCGCTCCGGACGCTCGCGGTGGCACGTTACCAGCCGACCCACAGGCCTGTGCGCGTTTCCCCCCACTGCTCGTTACCGTCATCCGTAGCAAAGGGCCCGGTTCAGAAGCCTGTGTATTTAGTTACTGTCTTTAGTGTCCTTCAGTCTGAACAGTTTCTCAGTCTTTTATTTTTGACATGAAAAAAACTATGTTTTACTTTTGTGACCCGGCTGCTTTTGAAGATGACAGGCCATTTATTTTGTGGCATATCCCTCAGTCGGGGTTTCTCTGATGTTTCTTCATAATTAGGTTCACATTATGCGTCTTTGGCCAGAAGAGCACAGGAGAGGTGCCGTTACCTTCTAAGTGGGTGATTTTCTTTAGTCCCATTGCTGACGATGTCCACTTTTTCCACTTACCTAAGGTGGTGTCTGTCAGGCTTCACTCTGCAGTCCCTCTTCCCCTTTGTAATTAGGAAGTATTTTGCAAGGAGATCCTTTAACCTGATCCTCATCAATCTTTCAGTTTACAAATCTTTTTGTTTATTTCTGTAGATCTGGTTTTGTGATTTGTTATTTTATTCCATGAGTGTTAATTCACAACTGTTAATGTGGTTTCGATGCTCACATTATCCCAGGTTAGGCCAGCAGGAGCCTTCTTCCCAGTATTCTTGACAAACTGAGAAAAAAAGAGAATCCCAGAAGCACATGTTTTTTAGGTAAACTCTTTTGAGGTGCAGTTTACATACCGCACAACTGGCCTTTTTAGCGTTAACAGCTCTGTATTGTGAAATCTCCACCATCAAGATACAGACCAGTTCCATCGTCCTGCCAAGTCGCCTGTGTCCTTTGTCATCGACCTCCACCCCCGACTTCCAGCCTCTGGAAACCGCTGACCTGTGGTTCTGCCTTTCCACGTGTGTCCTGTGAGTGGAACCACGCATAGGTAGCCGTTTGAGTGCCCCTATCACTTGGCATATGGCGTTTGGGACTCAGCGTGTTGTTGCATGCTTTAGTTTCCTGGAGCAGCCGCAACAAAGTGCCATAAACCCCACATTTCTTCTCTCACAGTTCTGAGACTGGAGTTCTGAAATCAAGGTGTCAGTAGGGCCTTGCTCTCGGAGGGCCCTAGGGAGACTTCCTTGTCTCGCCCCGGCTTCTGGGGGTTGCCGCCAGTCCTTGGGGTCCCTTGGCTCGTAGCTCCATTGCTCACTCTCCACCGCTATTTCCACGTGACCTTCTTTCAAATCTCAGTGTCCAGATGTCCCCTCTTCCTTCCCTTATAAGGATACCAGCCATTGGGTTGAGGGCCCTCGCTAATCCAGTATGACCTCTGCAAAGATTCTGGGTCCAGAGGAGGTCACATTCACAGGGACTGGGGGTTAAGGCTTGAGCATATCTGTTTGGGGAGCATAGTTGGCCCTCCCCCTTGTGTTTTCCAGTCACGCCTTCCTTCTTATGCTGAGCAGTGTGCCTTGTACGGAGGCACTAACCGTTCACCCATTCCTCAGTTGGTGGGCATTTGGATTGTGAGCACCTTCAGGCAGTTGTGAATAAAGACATTCACAGACAGCTTTTGCGTAAACACCTAGTAGTGAAACTGCTGAATCATATGGTAAGTGTATATGTAACTTCATAAGGAGCTGCCAAACTGTTTGACAAAGTGTCTGTGCTCTGGCACGGTCCCACCAGCAAGGTGGGAGAGTTCCAGTGACTCTAGTCTCTCCAGCACTGGCTATTTCAGTTTTTGTAAGTTGTGGTTAAAAAACAATATCAAAGTGACCCTGTTCACCATCTCTGAGCATGCATTTCTGTAGTGTGCAGTATACTCACGCTGTTGTGCATCCCCTCTCCCGGACTTTCATCTTATAAAGCTGGAGCTCTGTACCCACTGAACACTAAAGCCCCCCTTTCCCTTCCCCAGTGGCCACCGTGTGTCTTTCTGTCTCTGTGAACTCACAGCTCCCCGGACCTCATCTAAGTGGGAACGTACAATGCTCGTCTGTCTGTGCCTCCCGTATTTCACTGAGTGCCATGTCCTCAGGCTCACCCCGGGGTGGCAGGGGCATGTGTGGGTGCCTTCCATGGTATGTACCCACGCTGTTCTGCGGATCCATCACCCACAGATGGACACCTGGGTTGTTTTCTTCTCTTGCCTGTTGTGAACGATGCCGCTGTGAGCATGGGGGTGCAAACCTCTCTCCCAGATCCTGCTCCGATCCTGTGCATACCCAGAGGTGGGGTTGCTGGATCATGTGGCAATTGTTTGAAGTATTTCAAGGAATGACCATCCTGTTTTCCACAGTGGCTGTGCCATTTTACATTCCCACCATCCTAGCACAAGGGTTCCAGTTTCTCTATAACGTCTCCAACATGCACTTTCTTTTTTTTTTTTGTTGTTGTTGTTTTTTTTTTTGGGGCTTGGGTATTTTTTTTTGCTGGTAGTCATCCTACTGGGTATGAAGTAGCAGTATTTCAGTTTCAAACGCTGTTAGTTTGCATTTTCCTAATGGCTCATGATGTTCAACAGGTCTTTGTGAGCTTATTTGCCATTCTTACATCTTCTTTGGTAGAAATGCTTCTTCCAGTTTTTAAATTGAGTTGTTATTTTTTAACTATTGAGTTGTGAGAGTTCTCTATATATTTTGGATACCATTTCTTTATCAGATATGTGTTTTGCCAGTACTTTCTATCTGTGGCTTATCTTTTCATTTTCTTTACAAAGACTTAAAGGGCAGAAATTTTAAATTTTGACGAAGTCCAGCTTATCAGTTTTGTTCTTTCATGATTTGTGCCTTTTGAGTCTTATCTAAGAATTCTTTGCTTAACTCCAGGTCACAAAGATTTTTTGTGTGTGTTCCAGAAGTTTTATAGTTTTAGGCTTTACATTTAGGTAATTACAAGTTAATTTTGTTTATGTGGTATGAAGTATGGGTGGAGGGCCACTCTCTGTTGCACATGGATGTTGAATTGTTCCAGGGCCATTTGTTGAGAAGCTTTCCATCTCCTGCGGAATCACTGTAGCACATTCGTTGGAAATCAATCAGCCACATATGTGTGGGTCTATTTCTGGACTTTTTCTTCTGTTCCATTGGTCTCTGTGTCTATCATTTTGCTAAGACTACATTTTTTTTTAAAAGGTGTAATTGGCATGTAACATATTAGTTTCAGGTGTGCATATAACATATTAGTTTTAGGTGTGCAACATAATGATTTGATATTTATATATATTGAGAAATAATCACCACAATAAGTCTAGTTAACGTCTGTCACCATACATAGCTGAAAAGAAATTTTTTTCTTGTATTGAGAACTTTTAAGACTTGGTCTCTATTGTTAACGATAGTCACCATGCTGTGCATTAATACCCGTGACTGACTTACTTTATATGTGGAAGTTTGTACCCCTTAACCTTGTTCACCCATTTCACCTGCCTTCACCCTCTGCCTCCGGAACCGCCAGTCTGCTCTCTGCCTGTGTGCTTTGGTTTCTGATTTTTGGTTTTTCCTTTGCGCACATGAGTGAAATCAGACTAACAGCCCACTGTCTTGTTTGCAGTGACTTTATAGGGAGGCTTGG